AAAGTTAATAAAACAATGAAATAAAGCAGTAACGAATACGAATTACGAATTAATTCGTTATTAATTTGCAGTAATACGAATTAATTTGTTAAGAATGAGATTTCAAATTTTATAATTTGAATTAAATATAATGTTTCTTGTATTACATGCATACTAAATTTTGTTTAAAAAATAATCTTTGTAGAAACCATAAGCTAGATTAAACTTATGTCTTTTTAAAAGACTATTTAATAATTAAATACAAGTTTAGATGGCAAAAGTTAAACAATCAGAGATAAAAATGATATTAAAATTTCTTATTGAGAAATGCATAGTCCATCATTAATTATTTTTATTTATTAAAACTAATTAATTTCTCAGAAATGAAAAAAACATTGAATTACATCAAATTTAAAAAGAAAATCAATTAATAACTTCTATCGTTTGTTTATTTTTTCAAATCTATAGCAGATTTGCACCACATCCCTTTTAATTAAAGTAAACGAACGGACGTGTTAAAAATATTCTAGAAAATAATATTTTCCTTAAAATTATTCCCAAAGTATGAAGTAAATTGCTCTAAATTAGTGTGATGTAAACAGTTTAAAATTGTCTAAACCAGCAAAGCAACAGGAACATATAACCTGGTTGTATTGATTGAGGAATCTGAATGTATAAATAACTAAATATTTGATTTAAAAAAAGTACTAAAAAAAGTATAAGAGCATAAATTTGTAAAACACCTTAATTTTTGTAAAAAAGAGCATTAAAATAAATCAATAAACTTTATTTCCCATAAAAACTTAAAAGCATGTCCAGTAAAAAAAAAAAAAGTAAAAAGATTACAATTTTTTTTTTCATGATCGTGATCTATATTGCTTTCAAGTTATTTATCCCTTTTCAAGCCAATGGTTTAAATAATTTAGATGAGATTACATTATTTTTTCTACATTATGCTTTGTTTTTTTTTTTAACTTGCATTTCCTCTAATGATTATAAATTTTTCTTTCGGCCTAATATGAGAAAAAAGAAAAACATTCGTCCGTTTTCTTATATTTCATTATAATTAGAACGCACCTTTTAAGCATTAAAAATTAATTAAAGGAGAAAAGTTATTGTGATCATAAAAAATAATAAATATGATTTTAAAAAAAGTTTCTGCTCATATTTTCCCATGTAGTTTTTCAAGAGCAACAAGAAAAAACGACTTATTAACTCCTGCAGAAGTAGAAGAAGAAGTGCGTTAATTAAAGGTTCCAAGGTGCATAAGATAATTTTTAAAAAAAAGTGCTGCTCTGCTCCGCCAAACTCGAATCCGTATAAATATGAGGAAAAAAAACTCTTATAATAACGTTTTGTGAATGAATTTTACGAACGGGAAACCAATATTTATTTAGAGCATTGGTTCAGTTCTGAATTTCTTAAATACGTAGGGGGAAATTAGGCAATAATTGGTAATAATGAGACATGATATAATAAGGAGATAATAGGAATAATAATGAATTGTTAATGCTTTCTTATTGTTTTTGTTTATGCGCTAAAAAAAAGAAATCAAATATGTCTTAGAAGTCTAAATGTTGTAGTTTACAAAAGAGATTATTTCATCAAAACAGTGTTCTTACAGCAACAACGAAATTAATTAATTAAAATATCATTTATTGTATAAGCATCTTTCCAATAATAAAAAAAATTAAATAAAAACTCCAAATTCAGCCAAGTTAACTGAATATTTCTGAATATAATGAAATAGAATCAGTTAAAGAGCAGAATCCCTGCATACATATAACACCTTTATCTTTAATAGATATGTGTTTCATAAAAAACAGAGCAAAAAAAACGAAAAAAAAACGATATTACTTTGAAAATTTTTTGTTCTATTGATTTAATTGATTATAATTCTTTTAATTATTAATCTTATAAATTATTCTTATAAATTCAATTTTATTATTAATCTTATTAATTAATAATTTTACCTATCAAAAATGATCGAATAGTATAAGTTAAACACAAAAAAAAATGCTGTTAAATTCGAGAAGAGAATACTCGACAGTATATTGTTCTATCTGCATATTTATACAATTGGAAGTAACGTTTTTGGAAATATTATTTAAATTTCAACCTTATAATATCTAAGAAATATCTTCTTATTTCAGCTTTATTTAACACTTCAATATTTATTTATTTTTCTTAGTCATGAAATTTACATTAAAGGATCCAAATACCCGAACGCTCTTAAGCTATAAATAATGAGTTTGATACTATCCTCTAGTTTTAAGAGTAATAAAGTCCTAGTGCACTTCAGCATCCAAATAGAGTCTCTGTGCTGCCATCCAGTGTGGCAGAAACTAGACGTCAAAATTAACATGGCCAACGGTATCTCACCCATTGTGGTGGTCCTGAAAGAGTGGATACCACTTCTGGAGAACGCACTAGGTCTGCTCATCGGGAAGACTGAATGTGCAGCTCATTGGAAATAAATAAATAAATAAAGTTTTTAGAGTCAAAAATCTAAATCCGTCGGGGGAAGTAAGTTATCCTGGAAAATACTTTATTTTTTGTCTGATTACGTAATTTAATTACTGATTACGTATATAATCAAAAGAGAAGGCCGGTTTTTGTCATTTGTTTTCATAAATGACCACTGGATCACCCTCTGTTGCATTTTGAGAATTACTAAGTTTTAACAAATTAATAACGTGAAAAATCATCTGTGAAAATGAACTGTGGAACCATAGAAAAACAGTTCCTGTCCGTACACTTCAGTCGTTTTTTTTTTCCTTCCAAAATCAGCTTTTACGGATGAAAACTGCATGAATATGTCAACATATTTAATAGTTATTCCTCGAATTGTTAAGACTACAATGTGAAAATCCGATCATTAAATCTAAAGTTACTAAGGTTTTTATTTGTGCACTGTAAATATTTTTCATCAGTGTAACAGACACAAAAGTAGATTGAAAAGATATGAAAAATATTTTACGCTGTTGTCAATTTAGTTGTTTTTAAAAACTTGTTTTAATAAATAACTTTATTTTCTCCGTGCGAACGAAGAGTATTTATCTGGTTTTCAAATAAGTCATTGTTTATTGTCTTTCTTAACGGTTACTAGTTTGTACTTTTATCAACTAATTAAACATTAATCCTACTTACCACGCAAAAGCAACTGTCATGAAATATTACACCGTTAGATGTTAAAATTCAGCTTGGTAAATGCGTGCAAGGGATCACTGACGAACGATCTGCGAGTGCAGAGGTGGGTAGGTAGGTACTTTATTTACGTCTCAGTAGAGCTGCAGAATGAGCTATTGGCGACGGTCTGGTAAACATTCCTGAAGAGGATCCAAAGACATGCCATCGCAATTTTGATCTTCTCTAGAAAGGATGACTCTCCTGCTTTGGTAGCCCGACGACCTGCATGCGAAGTCGAGCACTTTACGATCGAACAGTTTAACGAGGACCTATATTGCGCACCCTCGGATCTTTATCGCACCTTTTTTACTCTTAGCTTTAAAAGCATTTTTTAAGAATGACAAAAAAATTCCGTTTATAAATGAAATTTCAAAAGTCCAATGAGAGAATGGAATGTCTCCTAACACCAGAAATCAGAATTAAATATTACGAAATTTTTATTTATCGATTTCAAAAGATATTCTAGTTATATTTCAAAATAAACTTTAGGCGTACTTCCATCGAATTTATTTTTTAACCCTTATTTGATCAACAGGTTTCAAACAAATTTCAATACTTGATTTATTTATTTTTTCCATCAGCATAGGTTAAAAAATTTTCGTACATTTCTTACTACAGACTTCAAATCAGATAATGATTCTAAAAGTCTATAGAATCTTTTTATAATTATCCATTTTTAGTATTCACTGTTTAACAAAATAAGGCATTTTCCTGATAACAAATATTACTATAATAATATCTTGTGTCGGAAAATAATTTTAACAAAAGTAAAATTTTTCAGCGTCTTTTTTTAAAAGAGCAGCTTTTTGAAAGTTAACGGTGTAATATTTAAGTTTTAAAGTCAAAATAAAATTTCGGTTCGAATTCGTTCATTTAAAAAACAGAACAAACAGTTGTGGTTTTTTGAGTTGCACTAATAGGTATTTAATTTTAATAAATCAAACAAATAAGAAACAATTAAGTAAATAAATAATTTGTTTGTTCCTTCTTAGAGAAAAGGGTGCACTTATTTACTACGATCAGTCAGACGTTTTACACTGAGTAATTTTAATGTGACAAAATGTTCTTAATTTCTTATCAGCTAACTGGCTGAAGTTCTGCGACTCGAAAAAATTTAATTATTTAGAGCGAGTGTTAAAGAAGAACTTTGAGCACTAATAAAATTAAACAAAACAGATTGGAATATTACAGAGAAAAAAAAATCTAAGAGGTAGAATAAAGAAAGAGAATTTAAAAATGAAATGAAATAATTTGTTGAATAGTTCTTTGAATCACATGTGGTCAGGTAATTGGGTACTTGCATTTCAAGAAGAAGAAGATATTAACGCATTTTTCGGACATTTGCGATATCCGCTAGTGAATTTTGATACTCGCAAATGTAAATGCGAAACAAAGGTATTCAACACATTTTTAGAGTAATCAAAACAACCATTCGAATGTCAACATTCGTTAGCATAAATGCGTAAAAAAGATATTAACGCATTTTTCGAACAGTGTAAATGCGAAACAAAGGTCTTCAACACATTTTCTATTTACCAAAATAACTATGTCAAAGTATTACACCAGCGTAAATGCGAAACAAGATGTTACCCGGAACGACTATGTGTCTGTCGTTTCGACGAATTTCTATGGTCACTATGGTATTCATCCAATTCGGTATTTTATATCAATAAATATACATACATTTTAGTCTTGTATAGTATAAATATACGAGACTAAAGCGTATTTTTAGTATAAATATACATACGTTTAATCTTGCAAACGTAAAAACTAGAAAAAGTAATAAAAACATAGTTTTTTTTAATACATATAGCTAAAATCGATCTGTCTGATACATGTATCTTAATTTGAAGCAAAAGTGTCTTTCTTCATTTTTACATTTTGTCCATCTCCCTTCTCTTTAGAATCGTTGGTATGAGAACACCCCTTAATCAACCCCCGCAGTTCGTTTATGGTATGATCTTTATGAAGCAATAAGTACTCCAAATGATGCACCCTTGCTGTCAGATTCATTATCGTCTCCTGTTTTTCTAAAAGTAGGGCTTGTACTTTTCGCTGGGTGGTATCTCCTGGCACCGTAACAGTATTTGAAGACAACTTACATCTAGACAAAGAACCGTTTGCTATAAGTTCCTTCTCTTCAGAATGGTCACCCTTCACGTCTATGACAGTGTCCTCAATTTTCAAACTGTGGATCAGATCTCTGATGTTCTTTTTCTTAGCTATGCGATTCGATTTCCGGTTCGTCTCGATTGTTGTTCTGAGTCGACTCAAGAAATATTCTATGGCTTCTCTGTTGGCGGCCGCCAATTCGTTTAGAGTCGCCTCTGACAGAGGGAAAGCCAGTTTTCTCAGGACTTTCTTATTGAGCGTGGCCCAGTTCACTTTTTTACGTTCCAGCGTGTTTGTGGGTGGGTAGTTGTGCAAATCGACGAGAGTTGGGTAGAAATGTTTGATTAACTCGGCCGCTAAGACGCCATCAGAGAAATCTCTGGCTAGGTTTTTTTTCACCCTGGAAAACGGGATGGTGCCCAACCATTCGTAGAGATTGACTTGCTCTGTTTCATTCATGCTTGTATCGGTAGTTATTTCAATAAAAGCTATCTTTTATAGACGGAGAAAATTTCGTGTATTTAAATTTTGTTTATTTATCAAATGAACTTTCCTGGCGGTGCTTTACTATAGTCATGCTGATGACAACCATATTCATTTAGATATTTTTTGAACAGCTTTGAAATCTTGAGAAACAGTGAGGAAAGTAGAAATCGATTATACCAACTTTCATCGATCAAAAGGTGCCTCAAGATTGAATTGAGTTAGCATGCCTTGTATGTTAGTGAATTGGTGGGTGACCACTTGGATCAGTCTGCGTAGGGACAGAGGGTGTGCGGTATTGGTCCTCGTTCAACTGTTTTACCGTAAAGTGCTCGACTTCTCATGCAGAGCTACCGAAACGGGCGTGCCATCCAGGATCAAAATTGTGATGGCATGTCTTCGAATCATCCTCAGAGATGCTTCCCAGACCGTCGCCAATAGCCCGTTGTACAACTCTAGTACGACGTGAATGGACTACAACAATAACATGCTAGTGAATTTATGTTTAATATTCGTAGAGGTAGTTACGCAACAATACTCCCTCACCAGAATTTTATCAGGGATAGAATTCGATAAACGGATACCACTTGTTGCCGTACTTGTGAAGGACCGGAAGAGCTGTGTTAATCTCACCGTATTTTGAGCGCTTGTACTGAGTGAGAGCTGTATTAAATTCACCGAGTCTTGAGCGTTTGTCGTGAGACAAAGTTAGTATTGAGTTCACGGTTGTGTGACTGTGGTCTCGCATGTGTTGCTATTAGCAGTCGAGTGAGTGCAGGATCCCGTTGTGTGTAAATGAGACTGAAAAGCAACAGCGCGAGGAGGACAATGACATAGTCACAAATAGCAAGTCAAATGTTCAACGTGAACCATCCATCGAAGTAGGTGAGTTCATATCACGTCAACAGGTCGCCAATGTGGCGAAAGAGCTTTAGACAATGTGAATCTTCATCTAACAAAAGGTACCACAAGATTGGATCGAGTTAGCATGTTTTATATACTAGTGAATTGATGTTTAATAATAGTAGTGGTAGTTACGCCACAAAATTATCTAGCAAAAAAATTTTCTTCTGATCAAGTCGCTTCATAAAACACGCGACAAACTGTAAATTCTTTTAACTCGTTAATGGATGGTTGACTGAATGTAAACAATAACGAGCTGCCTAAAACCGGAAGAAATTTAGAGAACTTCCGGTGTATCCCTCCGCTCATGTTATGCTCGCGAGACGATGTGTGAACAGGCTTAACATTCTAAGAAGTTTTATTGTTGTGATTTGTGTTTAAATTTACGCATAATTTTACCATTCATAAGAGTTATATGCATTTTATAAATTCTAACAGGTCGTGAGCGTAAAATAAATGTAAGAAAGTAAATGTCAAAACATAAATAAAGTGTAAGATTTGACTTGTTATGAGAGTTATCCCGTATTTGGCTCACGTTAATGTAAAATATAGCCGTTGATAATTTTTTCGGTAGCAGAGTGCTAGTCTTCCGAATTAATTTGTTGTTTGTTACGTTGAAATTTAAATTGAAAGAACTCGTTAAATGTTAAACACTTCAAGTATTGGATGGCGTGCGATCAAGATTAGGCGTAAAAAGCGATCGAAAGTATTAACCTGGAAGTCTTACGACGAATTTTAACTCCTCACCATCTTGGCTTAGCTTTACACGGTCAACCATCCACGGTCAACCACGGTCAACCAAAGTCACAAAATTTTCAATAAATTTTATCACATGGTTGTACCTAATCAAGTGGTTGTGCTTGTCATGTTAGTGTTGCAGCGTTTAAGGATTTACGGCTATTAAGCTATTATTTATTATCACACTGAATCATTTTTTGGATCAGATTTAATTGGATGCCTGCTAACGAAGTGTGTGTCAAGCTTATTGGCTAAATCTTGGACTAAACAAATGGCACGATTAACCCACGCATGATGTCACTAGCAGGTATCCAATTGCGGTCAATTTGGGCCGTTTCACGTAATTTATCGCAGACTGCATGATGGTTAGTTTTATTTAGACGCATCAAGCTAAACACCTGAATTCAAAATGTTTCCTGCGAATTACTGAATATGCTATCCTTCCATGTTCCATATTTTCTTCTGGTTATCAAATAGTTATAAAAAATAAAAAGTTCCAAGCTTATTTAAGTGCCATAGTAAAGTACCTTAGCAATTTAAAAAATTTTATATGAATTATTTCTGAAATATTTCATTGCTTTTACTTAGATATGTTTATTTTAACAGAAATTTCTGAACGTTAACATTATGAAACTAAAATTAATCGTATGTATACTATTCGTATCAATGAAATTACATTTTGTTAATTATTTTATTAAATTAAATTTTATGTTTGAAAGCTTTCGTTACATGACAAGTGTGGATTCTCTTAATTTTTAATTACAAAATATATTTTGTCTCTAAATTTTATTGAACTCTATTCTACGAGCCTTTGCTTAATATTGCGCCATCTCTTACATAATTACAGAAGTACTAAAAGAAACTAATTTGTGAATTATTTTATTAAATGTAATCTTATGTTACACAAAAAAAACTCGCAATTTTTATTATTAAAATTTATTATTCGTTCATTTTTATTTTTTGTTCATTTTTATGGAGAACTATTTTATGAGAATAACTTAATAATGTGCCATTCCGCAATAGAGATCACCTGAAAAGTATTGTATTGTTTATGATTATTATTTTTTAGGCTGAATTAGATAAACTAGTGGTCTGCGCCCCCTGCTCGCTAACGCTCGCCAACTCCCGAAAATTGCTACACAATCTTATATGATTTGCTTCGCAAACCAAGCTCGCTTCGCTCGCTACTAACTTAGGTACATTGCAAATGCATAAAATTCTAAGAATTCAAAACAATCATTCAAATCCATATAACAACTTTTTTTAAAAAAAATTAATTACATCTTTTTAGTAAATACTAAGTCATTAAAATAAATTTGAATTCAAATAAATGACATGTAATTCGTTAAACCTATTAGAAATGTGCTATAGTATAAAATCTTAAGATAAAATTTCTAAAACTGATAGGGGAGAGTCGGGTAGCCCCACCCAGTGGGTACCCCCGCCCACTGTCAATTTCATATGTATAGAATATTTTTTCAAGTCAATGGGCCATCGGACATTAATTGTTAGATTAAAAAAAGATTATTTTCAAAGTTTGAAGTATTTATGCAGCTGTTAACATGGTAAACAATAGCTTTGAAAATATGTTGAATACAGTAGTCATGAAATTAAGAAAAATTGGTTGAATGTTTCGATTAAACTTCATTTTAATACTAAAAAAATAATTTTTTCTAGACATACAGCATTAAAGTATGTAGTCCTAGGTTTAATTTGCGCAAAGAAAGAAGTCTATATGTGAAAAATTGTTCGAGTAATTACAAATTTACAAAAAAATTGGATTTCGGGTAGCCCCGCTCACATGAATGTCGGGTATCACCGCCCAATTTAATTTCGTCGATAAATGCACGGTTGCAAAGATTATTATTATATTGCTTCAAATTTGAATGCTATATGCATTTTTAACAACAAATATTGTTGATTGTTATTATATGATAGAATTCACTAAAAGTATATAAATATGTAATAAATAAAATAATTTTGTGATAAAAATGATAAATGAGTGTTATCTATTGTCAATACATTAGTCATTTTCATTTACACCTGAAAAAACAGACAAAAAACACAATTTTTGTAACTGGACGGGGCTACCCGACACATTTTTAAAAGAGCTGAGAAACATGTTTTTTTAAATTTTTATTTTTTTAAGCTAAACTATTATTTTTTTGGTTTATTCTTTCTTCATTATTTAATTAGATGATAAAACAATAGAAATATACAAAAATATTGATTACTACTCAATATTAGACAGAAATATGAGCAATATTAATTAAGTGGGTGGGGCTACCCGACTCTCTCCTATCTCTTTAAAAAGGTTAAAATTTTGGCTATAATTAAGTCTATTAAAAATTGTAATATATAAATTCGTAAAAAAAGCGCTTTCGACAAAATACTAAAATAGAGATCTATCGACAAAGACTCCCTTCTGCCTAGCTTAATAGTATGAGATAGCCGCAGCTGAATTGAACAACCTGATAGGGTGAATTTCGGAAGAGATCACATTTGATGAGAATGCTCTCTCTGGTTATTTCAGTTTCCGTTTTTAAAAGCGCTGTATGTTGAGCCATCTCTGCTAGATTTAGCATGTGACATTTTTAGTGGCAATCATTAGTCGATTTTCTAGCGTTGCCATTCGGGGAGTTGTAATGAGGCTTTTTTTTGTCGCTGTGTAAGAGAAACATATATCTATATATAGATAGAATATATAATAAACTAAAATCTACAGTTTATAAGTAATTAAAATGTTATGAATAAAAAAGTTCAGTTTTGTAGTTATCAGACGTGGACTAATCAAGTGGAGATACCGTTTCCTATGCATTTTCTGAGTCAAATCGAATGAAGCTCTCCGAAAACAGTTTTTGTTTAGGATGCCTAAGCACTAGTATTGTTCACGAATCATTGTGTTAAAGATGAATCCAAAAAACTGATTTTAGATAAAATAGTGCTTTTTTTTTCAAATAAGATTAAAACAAAAATGAAATTCCCTTACATTGGACAAATAGTTTCTGAGAAATCGAATGGTCACTGATAAGACTTTTTTGAAAATCGATTTTTCAGTTAATTATTCGCCCTGTTTCGTTCGTATTTTGCCCTATAAAATTACATTCTTTAAAATGATTAAAAAATTTGTTTTACAAATTAAAAAAAATTTGACTAAGTATATGTAAATGTAATTATATATAAATGGAACATAACTGTATAATTATTTATAAATGAAACATATTATATAATTAAATGAAATAATAAAAAGAAATAAACAATTTTAAAAAATTATATTTTGCATTGAAAATAATTTTATAAATCAAATATATCTTTAAATAAGCGAATTTTATAAAAATTTCCCAATTCACTAAAAAAATTATCGAGATATGTGAAATACGCAAAAAAATATAGCTAACATTAAAGTTCAAAATTTGCAA